TGATTGTTTGGTTTGTCCTTTAGCTAAACAAACTCGTCGTCCTTTTCCTTTGAGTTATATTAATTCATTTGCACCATTTGAATTAATTCATGTTGATATTTGGGGTGGTTATCATGTCCCTTCCATCACTAAGGCACAATACTTCTTAACCATTGTAGATGATTACTCCAGATGTACATGAGTTTATTTAATGCACCACAAATCAGATGCACGCCAAAAGCTCACTACCTTTATCAATCTTGTTGAAACACAATTCTCTTCCCATGTTAAAATTGTTCGCAGTGATAATGGACTTGAGTTTCTAATGACACAATTTTTTTATGATAAAGGAATTTTACGTCACACTAGTTGTGTCTCCACTCCACAGCAAAATGGAGTAGCTGAAAGAAAACACCGACATCTTCTCAATGTTGCCCGAGCTTTACTCTTCCAAGCCAAACTTCCTAAGAAATTTTGGGGGGATGCCATACTCACTGCCACATATCTTATCAACCGCACTCCTATACAAGTTCTTAAAGGAAAAACTCCCTATGAAATCCTTTTTCGAAAACCCCCAGTCTATGACCACTTAAGGGTTTTTGGTTGTTTGTGCTTTGCCTCTACTCATCATCTACGTCCAACCAAATTTGATGCTAGGGCCACACGTTGCATTTTTCTTGGTTACCCATATGGCAAAAAGGGCTATCGGGTTTATGATCTCAATACGGGTAAAATTTTTCTTTCTTGGGATGTCATCTTTCATAAAACTACTTTCCCTTTTCCATCTTCCACTACCGACTCTTCTCTTGTCTTCCCAACTTCTCATCCCACCCATTTTGATGATGCCCCAACTCCTGGACTTAATTCTCCTAGTTCACAGTTTCCAGCGCCTGACCTTGCGCTGGAAGTGTCCAGCGCCTGACCTTGTGCTGGAAACACTTCCAGCGCCTGCCCCTAAGCTTCCAGTACCTGACCTTGCGCTTCCAGCATCTGACTTTACCATTCCAGCACCTAATCTTGCACTTCCAGCACCTGATCTCGTGCTTCCAGCACCTCCATCTCCTTTTGCACCGGTGTCTCTACCACTGCCTCGGCGTACCACCAGGCCCAGTTATCTTCAGCAGTATCATGTCAACATAAAATTACCTGTCTGGTCTCTCCCATCATCTAACTCGGCGTCAATTGAACCCCAAGGCACCAAACATCCTCTCTCTCATGTCCTTACATATGATCGCTTGTCCCCACACCATCGTGTTTTTAGTGCTTCTCTTTCAGCGGTCAAAAAACCCATCTCTTATGTTCAAGCAGCTCATGACCCTCATTGGCGTCATGCCATGACCCAAGAAATGGTTGCCCTCGAAGCTAATGGTCAATCTTTGCCCCCCGGCAAGAAACCATTGGTTGTAAATGGGTTTACAAGGTCAAACTCCATCCTGATGGTTCTCTTGATCGGTATAAAGCACATTTGGTGGCAAAAGGCTATAGTCAGGTTGAGGGTTTGGACTACCGGGAAACTTTTGCCCCTGTTGCAAAGCTTGTCACCTTCCACCTCCTTCTCGTCGTTGTTTCCACGCGTCGTTGGCATCTTCATCAGCTTGATTTCAATAATGCTTTCCTCAATGGTGATCTTGATGAAGATGTTTATATGCATCTCCCTCTTGGATTCGGACGAAAAGGGGAGACTCGTGTATGCAAGCTTCATAAATCCTTGTATGGACTCAAGCAAGCTTCACGTCAATGGTTTATTAAACTTTCCACATCCCTTAAGCAAGCGGGCTATCATCAATCGAAGGCAGATTATTCATTATTCGTCTAAACCCGAGGTAACACATTCACTGCCTTACTCATCTATGTGGATGATATCATTTTAACAGGGAATAGTTTACAAGACATTGAAGCAACCAAGTCATATACAAGACATTGAAGCAACCAAGTCATACTTGCTGCAATAATTCAAATTGAAAGACCTTGGTCAACTGAAATATTTTCTTGGCATCGAGATTGCTCATTCTAGCAAAGGCATAGCCCTTTCACAACGCAAGTATGCCCTTGAAATACTAGAGGATGCAGGACAGCTTGGTGCAAAACCAGCCGATTCACCCATGGAGCAGAACTTGTCTCTTAGCAAACATAATGGCGACTACATTGATGATCCATCTTCGTATCGAAGGCTTGTGGGGAGGCTGATCTATTTTACAATTACCCGGCCTAACTTGGTGTATGCTGTTCACACTCTAAGCCAGTTCATGGATAAACCACGAACACCACGCCTAGAGGCAGCTTATCGGGTTTTGCGCTATGTCAAACGTGCACCAGGGCAAGGTATTTTTCTTTCTGTCAACAGTCCAATTCAATTAAATGCTTTTTGTGATGCGGATTGGGCTCGATGTCGTGATACTCGACGTTCTACTATCGGGTATTGTGTATTTCTTGGCAATTCTTTGGTTTCTTGGAAGACCAAGAAGCAAACCACAGTATCCCGATCTAGTGCGGAAGCTGAATATCGTTCCATGGCTGCCGCTTGTTGTGAAATTACTTGGTTACGATATATTTTGCATGATTTAGGCATTAAGCATTCACATGCAGTCAAGTTATATTGTGACAACCAAGCAGCGCTCCACATTGCTTCGAATCCAGTATTCATGAACGGACTAAACACATTGAAATTGATTGTCATATGGTGAGAGAAAAGGTTCAAAGTGGAATGATCAAAACGGCTCATATTTCCACCTTACAACAACCAGCAGACATATTCACAAAGGCCGTAAGTCTTCCACAATTTGCGATTTTACTTAGCAAGTTAGGAATCATCAACATACATTCCAACTTGAAGGGGAGTGTCGAGGAGCGTAAAATCCCAACTAAATCAACGTGATTGATTCTGAATATTGATCATTGATTTGTACAGATATTTAGTTTATTTCCTTCCTTTTATGTAGACGTGTATATTAAGGAATGATTCATTTAGGCTAGTTTTCAGCACCCTAATTGGCTATTGTATTTGTATAAAGGTTCTGTACCTCATTCTATTTTTATCATCAATACATACGAATTATCAATTCTTTCATTTTTTTTAACACATGCAGAAAAACCTATATATGTTATATGGGTAGCCCAAGTTTAAAAGCTTAAAAGCTAACCCAATATACACACACGCCCATCCAACTTCAAAGTGGTCCCAGCTTTTGTCTATTTTCCTTTGGTACACCAACTTTTCTCCTTTTTCTCTCTTCTATTCTACAGACCCACCGAGGATAACAACATCATCCTTTTTCCCTCTTTATTTTCTGCATCTTTCTATTATACTGGCTGGGCAGTGGGCAATTTACTGGCTTGTCCTCTCCTTTCTATAACAACAAGAAGTAATTTCTAATTCTCTCATTTTCTATATATCTTTAATTATAGTTTTAATTTAAAACTTAATATTTTAAAGTTTTATTAATGTATAGATGTATTTGAGGGTAAGGCTTATTACGTTCCCCTAACTAGGTGTATCTTTTTCTGATTATTAATGAAATTCACTCATACCGTCAAGTTTAATATGTAAATTCGGCCCAATTGGCTTTCTCCGCCACTGCTATGAACCGCCTGGCCTCCTCTTTGTCTGCCACGTCATCGTCCCCGTAGTACATCTTCCCTGCCACCATTGTCATTGTGATATTATACGCAGGCCGGACATCAGAGACTTAAGCCCCCCACGCGTTTTGTGAGAGCTTGCATAGAAACTGCTTGGCCTGGTCATTTCTGGTGCTGGCGAATGCGTTGAAGTGGGCGGAGGAGAAGATCTCGATGGCGGCGATGCGGCAGAGGTTGCGCCAGTGGTCTCCGTATGGGGCAGTGATAACGGTGGTGTGGTTGTAGTTTAAAGGGCTTGTCCAATATAGGCCCTTATATTTTCTATTTCCTAGACATATACCCATCATTCTATAAATCTATATTTAAAACCCAATTTCAAATTTAAATGACCAGTAGGATATAAGAGGTCATAGTATTCCTACGTTTTTACATCATTGCCACTAAACTTCATATTTTATTTATAATTTATTTCAAGCATTTTATTAACTACCATAATTGTAATTATTAATAGCATATCAATCACCCCATTTCTTTTGGTTACTATTCTCTCTAACATATCGCCCATTGCAAACCAAAAATATATATATGTAAATTACATATCCAATAATGTACCTATGAAAAATATAAATATAAATATATACGTATAAAAATATAGGTATATTATTTACCAAAAAAAATTTACAGAAAAATAAGTACATGATAATTTATAGAAAATATAGATACACAATAATTTATTGAAAATAATAGGTAGATTATTACAGAAAAATAGGTACATAATAATTTATAGAAAACATAGATACACAATAATTTGTAATAAAAAAATAATAAGTAGATTATTATCCATGAAAAAACTAAATTATAGAAAAATAGGTGCACAATAATTTATATAAAAAAAATTAGGTAGATTATTACAGAAAAATAGGTACACAATATTTTATAATAAAAAAATTAGGTAAATTATTATCCATGAAAAAAGTAGGTACAATAAATGAAATCCAAGTTCAAAAATAGGTAATTATTATTCGGGAAAGATGAAACAAAATTTCAAAAAGGCAATAAGGAAAACAGACTTTTGGGCCAACAAATTGTTGACTATATTAATGAATTTTAATAATAAAATGGATAATTAATTGCAGACAAAAATTTTAGAGGGAATCACCACAATAAATTGGGGAACCAAAAATTAAAACATCACCCCATTACACATTGAAAAATAAATAGGGGTATTTTGGCAATCAAAAAATTATAATAAATCAGATATTGAGTTTAATAAGATAACTTAATGAGTCCCTCAATCCTATATATATATATATAAGATTGAATTTTGAGTTATATATAAGTTATATATTAAGGAGGTTGGTTACCTTTTTTTGACGCTCAAGTGTTCTAGAAGTTCAGATTGGGCGAAGTTGCGAGTATATTAAGACAAGAAAAGAGAGAAATGGTTGAACCCAAAACGGATCATTATTTCAAGAATACCAAATACATGCCACCTTGTTAAATGAATTTATTGGAAGACATAAAATCTCTGTTCCAATTATTTTGATAACACAACAATTATAACTATTATTATATTCATACATTAAGATAGAACCTTCCTCGCAATCAAGCGCGATTTACACATGGCCTCTAATGGAACAGCTTTAGGCATGGTGAGTCCTTTATCTTCAGTCATGTCAATTTCCTTCTCACTCACTCTCTCCCACTCGAAGCACTGAATCAATGACCCCAAAGTCAAGCCCACTACACGTTGCGCTAAGCCTACCCCAGGGCAAGACCTTCTTCCAAGTCCAAACGGCAGGAGTTTGTGGGAAAAATTATCACCACTTTCAAACCTCTCAGGCATGAAGCTTTCTGGATCATCCCACAGTCCAGGATCTCTATGCAGAGCCCATGCATTGATCAATACCATTGTGTCACGTGGCACATCGAATCCTCCAATAATACAATCCTCGGACGAAAGATGTGGGACAAGCAACGGAGCTGCCGGACATAAACGAAGGGTCTCTGAGATGATACTTTGTAGGTAGGGTAGTTTGGAGAGATCTGGTTCATCCACTAAGTTTTCTTGGCCAAGTTGAACATCGAGCTCAGCTTTAGCCTTTTTTAACACGTGCGGATTGTTAAGTAGATTAGACAATGCCCATTCCAGTGTCACTGCTGATGTATCAGTGCCCGCCAATAGCAAGACCTGATTTATTAAGAAAAAAAAAAATTATCAAATCCACAATGAAATACTTTTATATAAATTTATAAATAAACCCAATCCTAGACATGTATTTATAAAAAAGGGCTTGTCCAATATAGATCCATACATTTTCTATTTCCTAGACATATACCCATCACTCTATAAATCTATGTGTAAAACCCAATTTCAAATTTAAATGACCAGTAGAATATAAGAAGTCGTAGTATTTCTATGTTTTTACATCGTTGCCACTAAACTTCATATTTTATTTATAATTTATTTCAAGCATTTCATTAACTGTCATAATTGTAATTAATATACTCCTTATTAATAGCATATCAATCACCCCATTTCTTATAGTTGTCATTCCCTCTCACATCTCGCCCCCTAAAATTGCAAACAAAAAAAAAATCTGTAAATTACATATCCAATAATGTAC